TGCCCTGGTGCCCCATATTAATCAGTAGCCAGTAAAGCCTTGCATAATGTATAATGGGCTTCTAAATAGTTCAAAACACAAAATACATCAATATTCAGTTTTTTGTTTTTTATTTATTTATTTATTTATTAATCAATCGTTGTTTTTTGGGTCATCCACAGGATTTTTCTGCTGGATTATTTGAAAGAAAATTGGAAAATTCACAAGTAGGCGTAGATTTCACTGTACTTTGTTGGACATTAATAGCAGATTAACACAACTGATGCAAAGAGTATACAGTGCTCTTAAAAGTTAGTTAAAAAACCAAATTCTTTAACTAACTTTTACCACATGAACATGAAACCAGCCAGTGTTTGTGTCCACTTTTTTGACAGTGTTACAGCAAAGAAATAATTTAACACTATAAAGCTATATAGTAATCTACTGGAGATGGAACGGTCTCACCTTACTACACAACAACAGCAACGGGACTTGAGGCTAACCTCAAAACTGCTTTCACCTTGCTGTCTGATCACTCCATTTTTTTCTGCTTCCTTTGAGATTTAAGCTTCTCTCTTGCCAAGATTGTGGTCTTTGGCAGGGGTAGCTCAGTTGAGGCAGGAATAGTTCGGTAAGTAGAGTGGTGGTCCCATGATCGGAACGTCGGGGTTTCAAATCTCCTAAACAGCTACTCTGAGGTACCCGTGAGTAAAGTACCTACACGCTGCTCCTCAGGCGCTAGATGGTGGCTGCTCACTGCTTCACTGAGTGAATGGGTTAAATGCAGAGAGGAATTTCCTCACAGGAATCAAGAAAGTATACAATTTTTATTTATTTATTTTGAGTTTCTCATTTTAAGGACGTAAGAGATTATATTTCTGCCCTTAACCTGATCCATTTCCTCCCAAGTCTCCCTCTAGTAAACCTCTGACCTGATGGGCAAACAGAAACACAAAAGGTGAAGAACCTGTAGAAACCTGAGGAAACTTACAATAGACAAACAGGAGAAGGTCTACCAGGTCTGTAAAAGGTCCGTTTACCTGTACAGTTATGACAGATAGTCTTGTCTGATCATCAGCTGATGCTAAATGCTCTGGTCTTGGCCCATAACACAAAACCAGAAGCTTTGTATATCTTAACTGGACAGACTGATATGACCTATCTACACCCATTATAATAGACTACTTCTGCTGTTTCCTTTGGCTGGGTTATGTTTCTCTTGTGTGAAGTAGATAAGTTTGCTAGATCTAGTCTAAGAAAATGAATTACTGAAATACTCCTTGACCCACATCTTTACCTCTAGATCAGGGGTAGGCAACCTTTCTGATGACGAGTGCCATCTAAAATTTCCTCAGAAGTCAGTGTGCCATATGATTGCATTAGCAATAAATTTAATAACACTCTATATTAACAGTTACACACTATATAGAAGAAATTTATAGAATTATATTTGTTTGCAGATGTTGGCAGCTATCAGCGAATAGTTATCAGCTATTCTGAAACAAAAAAAGACTTCTCATCCATAACAGCAAATGAACTGTACAACAGAAAATACAAATGCTATTTATGGTCTCCTCACAACAATGATAAGAAAAATAAACTGGGCCAATATGGCATGTTTGTTAATACAGGGATACACATGTTAATGTGATCTCTGGTCTCCCACTCAGCTACACAGGACTCCAAGTGTCCAGAATTCAGACCTGAGGACTCTCTTCATGTGAGAGAAAATCTGCTCACACAGATATGTAGAGCCAAATACTGTCAATAAGGCCTCTGCAATGTTCTGAAGACAGTTAAACTTGTCAGGTAGTGATGTCCAGCAGGTGGAAATGCAGCTCCATGAACACGCACAGCTGTGGATTCCAGCTGCTTCGACGTTGCATTAACTGGCATTAACTCAGCCAGTTAATGCAAGACAAATCTAGCTGCTCATTAAAGATTTCTGGTTTGATCAGAAAATAAAACATTGGTCCATATGCCTGAAAGTGCCAAAAATTGCATTGTGAATTCCGTCTCGAGTCTACGGATGTATCCGTGTATTTCCGTGGTGCTGATGCTGTGCTGAGCGGA